TTTGACCTCTGAAACAAGAGATGTGCAACCAAACGCAAAGCTTTGAAAAGGTGTGGTCCTCCACACCTGGTGCAGAACAGGGAACGTGACACTGCATCTCCCCACATATACATCTACACACTCCTCACAGTCCACAGGAACTGCTCTTTGTTCACTATTGAATGTTTCAGATTTGTAAATTATTTCTCTGCTTTATTACAATTTAATTTGTTCTTGCCAGGGGTTGTGGCACTTGCCTATAATCCCAGCAACTCGGAAGGCAGGAGGATCACAAGTTCCAGGCCAGCTTGGGCAACTTAGCAAGACACGTCCCAATAAAAGGGCTGGAGATATAGCTCAGAGGCAGAGCACTTACCTAGCATAAACAATGCTCTGGGTTTGAAAAATAAGTAAAAAATAAATAATATATCTCCTTTTATCTTCATTCTATGTTCACTAGAACTGTACACGTCATAATTTCTCCAACCACTCTCATCAACAAATGCAAACCTCAGCAACATAGCAAGGCCCTGAGCAACTTAGCAAGATCCTGTCCCAAAGTTTTAAAAAGGGGTTGGAGAGGTAGCTCAGTGGTACAACACCCCTAGGTTAAATTCCCAGTACCAAAAAATAAAGATAAATGGAAACCTAAAGTTATACTTTTTTTTTAAAAGATGGACACAATATATTTATTTATTTACTTACTTACTTATTTATTTTATGTGGTACAAGGATGGATGGAACCCAGTGCCTCACATATGCAAAGGCAAGTGCTCCACCGCTGAGCTATAATCCCAGCTCCATGAAGTTAGACTTCTTTAAATATATTTTTCTTTTTAGTTGTAGATGGACACAATACCTTTACTTCATTATTTACTTTTATATGGTGGTGAGGATCAAATCCAATGCCTTACGCATGTGCTAGGCAAGTGCTCTACCACTAAGCTACAACCCCAGCCACCCTGAAGTTAGAATTTAAAACAGGGTTAAGATTCTAAAAATTTTTGTTCCATGTCTTATGAGACTTACACTAAACAGGAATTTCAAAAAAATATGGTATGCCATATGGTCAAGCCCAGATAATAAAATTGAGAATATCTATTACTAATCCACTAATGCTAAAGCCAAAGTCCACAGACAGTAAGAATTTAATCCAATTTTGAGACTGACATGAGCCAAATCTCGGGCAGAGAAAAACAATCCAATGAAGAAACTATAATAAATGCCAATACTGCACTGCTAAAACAAAATCAATATTATCCATCAAAGTAACTATTAGCAACAAAACCAAATGATGTTAGTAAGTCTAGAGATACCAGGAAGACCTTCTACATCCCTTTCTCAAAGCTATATATATACCTTTCCAAATAAAATGAATGGATAATAATTTTTTTTTAGTAAAGCAAAAGGTAACAAAGCTTTCATACCTGAGAGCATACCACCTTTTTCAAGAAATTAACTATACCCTCATAAAATCAATTTTGCAAGTGTTCAATAATTCTACCTGGATGACCCAAGCTTGGAAACTACTCTTCTAGGCATAAAAAAAGACTTAAAAGACATTTACTCTTTAAAAACAAAAAAGGCGGGGGCTGGGGATGTGGCTCAAGTGGTTTGCCTGGCATGCGCGCAGCCCGGGTTCGATCCTCAGCACCACATACAAAGATGTTGTGTCCGCCAAATACTAAAAAATAAATATTAAAATTCTCTTTCTTTAAAAAAATAAAAATTAAAAAGGCGGGCTGGGGGTGTAGCCCAGTGGTAGAGCGCTTGCCTAGCATGTGTGAAGCCCTGGGTTCGATTCTCAGCACCACATATAACTAAGTAAAATAAAGGTCCATTGATAAGTAAAAAAAATAAAAATAAAAAAGGCAACACACTTTTCTGTAGCTTTTTAAATCTGAGGAAACTTATTTCAGCTCCCCTCCCCCCAAATCAGAAATAACTAAGGCTGTCAAATAGAGAAAACCTTTTTTTAAAGTGCAACTAACAGGCACTTGGCTTAAGACTGGTCTGAAGAGATAAAGATAGCTTTCTGTAAACTCAGGTATTACACAAAAGGAGCTGTTTTTGTCCAGTAGATGTTCATGTAAGACATCGTCAATTCTGAGTCAAAGCTGCAAGTTCAAAGAATCTTCTGTATAAGGACACCCTTGAAACGGCCTCATAGAAGATGAAAGGCGGTCCTGACACAGCCTGAGGCCAGGCAGCCCAGCATGGGCAGGACCAAGCAAGCTAACAGGGGCCCAGTAGTGGAGGACAGTGCAGGCTAACTGGGAGAGGTCCAGGCTTAACCAGAGAACTTGACTTTGACTTTCCAGATTCTTGCCTTCTGAGAAAGACTTGTAGCACTTGCAGCACCTGTGAACACACAAGGCAGGACAGCCTCTCCCTCACAGAACCCTGAACCTCCCAGATGCATTCCATTTCTGGACAGCACCAATTGTCAGAAAGGCCAGTCTTGTGTTAAATCAAGCCAGAAGCTGCCACTCAGTTCTGCTCTCTGGAGGCTCACAGACCTGTCTGACCATCCAGGGCACAGTTCCATTCCTGGTCACACACCCAATGTCAGTAAGGAAGCAAAAAGGGAACTGCTTATTCACTTTCTTTTTGCAATATGTACCTTCCGGAAGAATTCAGAAAAGGCTATCTTAGCATGAAAACTAAAAATCTAGTTCCAATCTAAAAGCCCCTCCCCCCAAAATATAGTGTCAAATCAGAAAATAACTTGTGGTACTGATAAGAAACCTCATCAAAAACATTGCTTGCTCAAGAGACTTTACACAGTCTCTAAAGTGGATCTGAATTTTTCACAAAACTTCTTTCACAAATACTTCCATTTATTTGCTAGTCATGAAAGATAATCTACATATTTTCTTAATCTCCCATGTGGTCCTGCAGGCCTGTAATGGGAGGCTGAGGCAGGAGAATCCCAAATTCCAGGGCAGATGGGGCAACTTAGTCCCTATCTCAGAGTAAAACGGCTGGGGAGGTAGCTCAGTGGTGGAGCGCTGGCCTAGCAAGGACCTGGGTCCAATTCCCTAAAAGTGGGGGTGGGGAGCCAATCTCATAAGCAATTGTTGACCATCTAGTATTAAATCTGAGATTCCTGCTGTCAGACAGCAACGTAAAACGCAGAGAATCCCCACGTCCCCCAAACTGACACTACACTACCTGCCCCCGAGACCAGTACCAAACTCTTGGGCTTCTAAATGCCCGACTCCCCTTCCCAAAATAAAAATCCTCCATCGCTGCTTTTCTGCGGGGAGGGAATGTCAAAGCCATAACTGGAGAGCGTCCCCGCAGATGAAGAAGCGCGTTAGGCTGATGCCACTTCTGAACCTTAACCTGCCGTTCAAAGGACCCGAAAAATGCCTGAAAGCCTCGACGGGTCCAGCCCCGGTGTCAGTTCACGGCGGAAGCCAGGAGGCCGCGGGGAGCGAAGC